TATTAGTTTGCAAGGGCTGCTTTAACAAAACTCCACATACTGGGGGTTTTAGACAGAAATGTATTTTCTCACAGGTCTGGAAGCTGAAGTCCCAGACCAAGAAGCTGGCAGGTTTTGTTCTCCTGAACCAACGGCTCTCCCCTTGGCTTGAGATGGCTGGCTCCTCACTGTGGCCTTTTGTGCAAATGCATCTCTGATGTCTTTTCCTTTTTTCAGAAGGACACCGATCAGATAAAGCCACTGATTTGATGTCATTTATCCTTAGTTTCCTCTTTGAACTCCCTAATTCCATATATAGTCGCATTCTTAGGCATTAAGGCTTCAACATATGAATTTGCGGGCACAATTGAATCTATTACAGATGCTTATTATTATGGCAAGTGACCTGAATACTAAAATTCAGGCCTTCAAAATAAATATTTCATGTCAGACCAAAGGGGAGTGATCCCCTTAAAAAGCCTGCTAATTATAAATCTGTTTCTTCTCTCACTGGTGTCTTAGAGAAGGTGATAAAGAAGGGCTTTCTCTGTCCAGCCAACTCTTGGCAAAAAATGTATTCAGTATTAGCGTATCCAAAATGCCATGAGGGAAACACGATTTGTCAAGTTCAAGTATAACATATCAAAAATTAGGATCGGGGGCTGCAGACCTGTAAATATAACGGCAGGCAGCCTGGTCCTCTAGGGAAAGAGATTTTCTTGCGGAGAGCCAATGATGGAAGGATTCTTCAGTCTAATTGTGTAGGTCAAGCCCGTTACAGTGTCTGCACCCTCCTCTACTCACCCCTTCATTCAGCAAATACCTATCGAGGGCTGCTGAGGTGTCAGGCACACCGCCAAGCGCTGTGCTTTGTGTCCCCCTAGGCAAGGACACTCACTGAAGGGCAGGACAGAACTGAAGCTGTGCTGATTTTTTTTTTTTTGTCCCAGCCAAAAGGCTCACCCCTGGCAATCCTTCCATAAATATTAGCTAAAGTTGATTGATAGATGTGAGATGAATGCCTTCTCTGAGAACATTCCTCAGAAGGACAAGGGGGCAAAAAAGCAAAAAGAAGCAGCATCTTGAGGTTTAAGGGAAAACTCCATTTCCAATGGGCAGTTGGGGGAATGGAGGCTTCTACTCTTAATCACCTCCTGAGACAGGAAGCTCCAGGGAAAAGGGCAGGTGGCAGAGCCAGCAAGAGGGGAATGTTATGGATCAATCCCAGAGCCCAGAGAAATTACCAGGTGGCTAAGTATCAGTTGTTATTTCCTACTCTGCTGCTTTTGGAATTTGTGCATAATACATCTGAATTAGCCTCCTGCTTCTCAATAAACAGAGAAGTGACTTAATGTGGAATCCTTGACAAAGCTATTTACAGTGGAGTTTCTTTAGCTCTCTTTTAGGACAAGGAGACAGGATCAAAGCTCAACACAGATGCTATTTGCAGACACCAGAGGTAGAACTTTAGTTTTAAAAAATGGTCCTTTGCAGCTTTCCTATTTTCGGTAAACTTTAGGGTTTCTGGAAATTAGGATCATTGTGGTCAGCACCATACAAACACTAAGTGTGCAAACGCTGCTGTCACTTTCAGCTGTGAAGTAAAAGAGAAGAGGACAAGGACATACAAGAGGGCATGGAACTTGTCAAGAGGAAGCGCAGGACAGTGAGGGACAAGGGAAGGAAACAGGGCTATCAAGTGTGCATCGAGCACCTGCAGTATGCCTCCAACGGTGCAGGAGGGCACAGTGTAGAAGGAGTTTCATTTGATCTGGGACGGCCAAGAAATTGTAGCTTATTCACATTCCTCGAAGGGAGACGAAAAGGCAGCAAAATAGCATTTAGTTGGCTGCTGCCACCTGCAGCTCGTTTCTCATTGAATTCACACTCTTATGAGGCTCAGAGAGATGAACTAACTTCCTGGTAAGAAGCTTGAATACGTTAGGAAACTATGAGAAACCTAAAGAAAAGGGGGTGTGTGTTAGGGAAGGGGTAGAATAAGGATTTGGACTGTTTTACAACTCCAATACCCTCAGAATCAGAAAGAAGTAACTGAGTAGAGCCATGCAGGGGATTTGAGATGAAAACAAGAAAGTATGATAGTAGAAGACCCCATATCCACATCAGTCTTAGCTGGGCGAAATACCTTTGTTTTTTAGGTATCTGGATTACCCAGAAAGATAAGCTAGCTGGCACCTAGTGTCCACCTTGGAGCCTTCCTCTCTCTGCTCCTCTTTCCCTGCTCAGCAAGGAAGCTAAGCAAGAAAGAGAAAAATGGGCCTAGAGACTTAAATCCAAAGGAGATCAGTATCTCAGGAAACAGAGGCAAGGAGGAAAGCTTCAGAGTCTAAAAACAGAAAAGGACTGTGGTCTTGGAAGAAAGGAATAAAGGAATGTGTGGAAGAGGAGGAGCTATTTAGTAGGAGGTAGGGAGAGGAGAAATATGCCTGTGACCTTTGTGGGATGTCCCTGAAGTCTGATAGTGATGGTCTGTGCTGAGGAGAGTGTGCTGACATTTGGACCACCCTGGATGTTCCATGCTTTTGTTGACTTAGTAATTTTAGATAGGTCAGCACGAACCTAAATATTTTCAAACCTTCTTCAGATTTCTTTGTGCATGTGTGCACTGTGGAGAAAGACTGTTTCTCCATCGGCCAGAGTCATGAGTACTGGGACCATCAGCTGGGAGACGCAGGGAGCTAGTGTCCAGATCCGATCACTTTAGTCACCATTTATTTGGTGGCTTTCCTTAGTGGGCTTTATGGGCATAGTTCAAGAAAGGGGCACTTCTCCACTCAGTAAGTAAGCAGATTCTATATGCCCGCACACTGCCACATGACCCAACACCTCCTATGGGATGACAATGCCTCCCTGCCAATGCCTTCAGGTGTGGCCATGATTTGCTTTGGCCAAAAGTGGGCGGAAGTGACTGTATACCCACTCCGTAGCAGACACTATAAGGCCCACAATATTCCAGCTCTCTTCTTTTCCTTCTGCCATAAGAATGGCATGTCTCGGGGCTTCTGCTATACCCTGAAACCAGGGACAAGGAGCCCTAGAGTCACAGGGGACCTATTGTTGACATGTAATGAAAGCTGGAGACAAACATACATAGTGTTTATTCCCCCAACATAATCTCATGAAAGTTGCTATAATGATCTTTACCATACACTCCCCTAATTTTATATTGCCCTGTTTTTTTCTTTAGGTTTAGTATAAATAATAAAGGCTATCTGTTCACATTCATAAATACCTTTTCCCTAGTATGATCCCCGGTACCAAAACACAAACAAACAAAAAACCATTAATACCTTTCTTCTTAACCCCAAACTATAAAAGACTACATGTCACAAAAAATTATGGACCAGATATGGGAGAGAGCCTGGTGTATAGAGAAAGGAAAAGAGACTGAATGTACTGCAGTTAACTTAGCACCTTGGGGTAAAAGCACAATGGTCAGGAGTCTCATCAGGATGGATTTAGCCCACGCCACTTCTAAAACTGGCCCCCAACTCTGTTAGGCAGAGGTGTCAGCCTTCACTCTAAATCAGTGCTTCTGATACTCTGCTTAATTCCAGATTGTCCCGGGAAGTTTTTTAGCCCAGATTCCCAGGCCCTCCTCGAGATTCTGGTACGTAAGACTAGGATAGGGGGCCTGGAAACCTTAGCTTCCCGACATTCCCCAAGGGATGCTGGTGAGGGCCAGCTCAGAACTCCCACCCCACTGGCAGCCTTCCAGTAGCTGAGGGGCAGAAGAAAGCTTGTGCATTGGAATCATCATCACATTTAAGGATTACAGCAGGGAATGGGGCTTCCTAAAAAATAAGTGAGGAAAACTGAAGAAAGAGAGGTTCCAGTTGAGGTCTAAAGTAGCAAGTTGGAAGATTAAGAGGAAGAACTATATTGAAGGGCAAAATTCATAAATAAAAAATTGGAAACCTGGAGGGAAATAACAAAACATGCAGAAGTTAGATTCAGGAGAAATATGAACAAATATCAGGAACTCTAGAAGGGAAAAGAAACCTATGAAGGAAAAAAAAAAATTAAGCAAACAAAACCAGACCCTTTCCCTCAGCTAAAGAAAGTCCAGAGTTGAAAGGAACAATGAAAATGTCCTACACTGAAGACACACTCTGATAATATTCCTGGCACTTAAGGTAAAAGAAAAAAAAAATCAAACAACAACGACAACTAAAAAAACCTTGCTACCAAAGAGAAGTGGCTTAAGAAGGAAAAACAAGTTCATATTTGATTTCTCAACCGAACCTTGGAAACGGAAAGAACATGTGAGAAATATGCACTTGTGAGAGAAAAGAAATGCAACCCTCAAAACAAACTTGTGGCTAAGTAAGAATTCAGAAAAATCTAACCGAATAAGTGAGTCTGAACAGAGACTTCAAGAGTGAGTGATAAAGAGAGAAGAAAAAGAGGGTGAGCAATGAGAATTGCAACATAGAGAGCGAACCCTAAAATGGGACACAGTAAAAAATGTATGGGATTATCTAATATTGGTGTGAAATCAGGATTACTTGAAATAAGAGTGCAAACAGACACTAATCACTCCCTGGAAGGGAAAGTTTTAAACTTGACTGCAAAACTGTGGATGGGTGGGGTGGGTATGAGCTGGTGGGCAAAGGAGAGAAGAGAAGAGAAGAGAAAATAAATGCCATGATTTCAGCTGCACGGAAGTGGGAAGCAGGAATGCTTAAAGCTTTAGTGGGATGGCAGTAGCAAAAGCAGCAGGGAAATGGTTGGCTTACTACCTTTGTGCAACAGTCAGGTATTCTGGGGGTAAGATCCTCAGCAGTGGAGGAGAAGGAGCAGAGGATAGTAGGAAAAGCACGACAGCTTCTGCAGGGACCTGCTTCGTTGCTCTTGAAAGAGTATCAGATGGTCCTCTAACTGTGGCCTGTTTTGATAATTTGCACCCAATCCTAAATTTCTCCCAGCTCTGGGAACCACCTGCTCTAATCTCTAATCTACTTTGTACTCATTTGCTTATGTCCCTGAACTCCCTGCAGCCTGAGGACCAACCTTTCCTGCACTTCAACTCAACACTCTTCACTGTTAGATGGGATGGATTTTGCTGTGGAGCATCTGGACCAAGCCCAAGCTGGCTCTGGATCTCCTACTCTTAAAAGAGGTATAGAAGTTGATTCTGGAAGTACCTGGGACAACATTCCAAATAGCCTTCGTGGACCAGTTTAAATTTGTAGAGATGCCAGAATCATCCTACTGATTTTTCTTCTTTCCTATTCCAATTCCACCTCATGCCCAGGTTTCTTCTGATTCTTTTTTTTTTCTTTTTTATTGAGGTTATTGGTACAATTTAGGTATACAAATACAGTTACATTCATCATTGGGATTCTGTACCTTTACATAATAGGTCTTGATTCTCGTTTTCCCCCTTGTCCCTGCCCTCCCTTCACCCCCTCCTCCCCTCCCCATTTACAAATACTTTATTTCCATTTTTTCAGTTTCTCATATTTTTTTCCTCTCCCTTATTACCTTTCCCCCACCCTTCCCACTTTCCTTACACCTTTAGCCCTTTACTTCCTATTTCACATTATTAATTATCTCATTAGGATCCTGTGTACTATTATAGTTTTTCACACCAAAGAAACTATTCGGTATTTCAGTTAAAGAAATCTCTGTATGAACATTAAAAATAGGGAATCCTAAAATAAAACTAAAAAGGAAAGTAAAAGAGAAAAGGCAATGATGTAACATCAAAATAATCCTTAATTCTGGAGATGAAAATGGTCCCTGAGCATATTTAAATTGCTTCTCGCTCTTATAGTCTTATCTTATTCTTTTTTTCATTATTTAGAGAATACTTTATTAGTTTCTGTAATCAAACCCACATAGATATGACCTTACATATTTAGTACGATGTGTTACCCCTGTACACATGAAAAAAAAAATAAAAATAAATTAACATTTCTAGACCAATATGGTTGTCCATTTCTGTACAATGCCAAGTCAACACAGTAAATTGGGATGACTTTTTCCAAAGTTGGCAGCACTGTTAAAGCTTCCCAAAATTCAATTTATATATATGCGTGTGTGTGTGTGTGTGTGTGTGTATAAAGACTAATAATAGTATGTTATGCATTGATAGCAGCAACAGCTTTTCCAGGTTCTGCAGTCATCTGAACAAAATTATTGACATTCAGCACATTCCATTAAAAAAAAAAACAACCAAAGAAAAGAATAATATCTAGACAACAGCCAAGTTCTGTTGCTGCTGTGGTACCTGGCACCATTTTTTCTATTAGCCTCTTAATCATCATCTGGAAAGAGAACATTCTAGAGTAATA